TTTTTTTTTTTTTTTTTGCCCGTTTCGCCTGGGGCATTGGCCCACAGCCCCCCCCAAGCACCGTCGCCGCTCCCCACACTGCCCACAGCCCCCCCAAGCCGCCGCCGCTCCCCAGCGCCCCCGACGGGCCTCCCGAGCGTGGATGGCACTCTGCTCGTTCGCGTTCAGAGTGTGCACCCGCGTTCTTTGAACGCACGTTCAACTCGTTCAAAAACTGAACACGGAACTCGCGTTCAACGAACGCGCGGCAACACAGTCTGAGAGTGATGTCATCCGTCTGCACAGACTCTGCAGGGCGGGCTCGTGCAAGCATGAGCATCATCCCAACAGTGTTAAGGGGGGGAAGGCAGTAGTCGGCGGTGGGAAGAAGGGCGGATACTCAGTGCAGGCGCAGTTCTAGGCCAGGTATGGCACGGTAGTCTTACGTGACCGTCAGTGCCCAGACTCTACAATGTTGACATGAGATTTAGTGGGATTGAGCCCTTGTTGATCATGCACAAGTTACTAATGGCCCAGGCTGTGTGGGGCTGTCCACCGTGTCATAACCTGGCTGTGTGAGGTTGTCCATCCTTGTCGTAACCTGGCTGTGATTCACCTATGAATGATCAGGGCTTTGGAGAGAGGGAAATGTCATTTTCGGTCAAGATTGCGGAGAGAACCGACAAGAGCACTTGACTATTGACATGTGTTACTCGTCAATGAGTTGCATGATTCCCAGGCCTGTTGTAATAATTCATCAATGGTAGTGGACAAACCAGTTTGAGGCTTTATGAGAGACGAATTCACAGATGTCAGCGAATCTTGAGTGACCAGTTTGATGAAGGGCAAGCAACATATAAGTTTCCCCTTCGTCTATCCTTTCCTCAAGAAAATTCAGACTGATTTGCCTCACTGGCTAGTTCCCGCCACCTCCTTTTACGCCCTCTTTTAGTTTGCCCTCAGAGGGTCGGCTGGTTATGCAAAAGGTGGTCACTGAGCAATCCTTGCTTCTATCCTAAAGGTATTGGGTTTTCCCATTTTACCATGAAATAAGTTAGAATTAAGTCTGAATTCTGGTCATTGTAGATTCTATATTTGTCTGATGGGAAAAAGCAAGGCTACTCTAAGGGCTGT